CCCCCCCCCCCCCCCCCCAAAAAAAAAAAAGGTTGAACCTTCACGTGGGGTAATGCGATGAACCCACATCATGTCGCAGTAACCTAACTAAACAACGAGTTATCTGTCCCGACATGACCGCATCTGAATGCAGGTAACCGCCTCGAGAATTTTGCAACTTTAACCGGAAAAATGGAAAATCGAGAACACGGATGAACCCAAACGAAACCAAAAAAAAGAAGAAAGGAAAATTACACACAGGAACCGGTACAATGTCAAACTCACGAATGCAGCTGCGTCGTGCAATCCACTCGCCAAAAAAAAAAACACAACGACGACGACTGCGAAACAGGAACATGACAATGATCGGAGAAAATAGACAAAACCGAAACTCACAGAGTTAGGGCTCAAGAGAGAGGGGGAGAGAGAGAACCTTGACCAGGATTCGTGGCCGGACCATGGCGGCAAATTCCCCCTCAGCTTCTCCTCGTACACTCCTCCCATCGCCTCGTTCTGTATAACCGAACTCGCACCAGTCGGGTCGTCGGTGAAGGAAATAACCCGAAGTTGGCCCAAAAGGCCCAATTCACTTTTTTATGGGCTTTGTGGCGTAACATTTGGGCCGATCGGTTATGAGTTGGTCCAGTTCGGTTCGGTCCAAATGAAAACCGGTCTGAGATTTTGGACACTATATGGAATCAATCTCGTAAACCTTAATTTACATGAATTATACTTTTACTTGTTCTGACTTTTTTTTTTCTTCCAATTAAATTATTTTATAGATCTTTCTCTTATGTATTAATTATAATTAGTCTTTTGATACAAGTCTTTTTTTTTTTAATTCAATAGACTCACATTCCGTTTAAAAAAACACTTCATTTCTCAATTTTGAATATAAATAAATAAATGTAACGAAAGAATTAAGGAGTGAATCAAAACATATACTGTCTCCTCCGTTTTAAAATATTTGTTGTTTTAGATTATTTCACATTTTTTTTTAAATAGATTAAAAGTCATATATATCCTTATTTGATCATAAAAATAATGTCATGTTAATAATATATTAAAATTTGGTATGGATAAAATTGGAAACTATATACCTTAGAAAATATAAAATTTCTTGGAAACGGAGGGAGTATATGGTTAGGGTTTTTGTGTCTTGGCATTTGCACGTCATAAATCTGACCATTGACCAATTCCCTCCTACTAAGGCATGAAGCAGACAATCTTTGGCGTGAGGGCAGGTACCACGGTTTGTCTCTTTCATTATCTATCTACGTAATCATCTCTACTATAATATAAAATAAATTTATCCTAATTAATTCAGCAAAACTTATAAAATAATCTATCTAATATATATATAAACTCCACGCTTAATTGCCTCTTCCTGCTTTATCTTGTTCACCACCATCGTCATCATCAATATCAAACATCAAATGGAAGTCAGCGCCATGGGTTGTACGGAAACAAGAACACCGTTGCTGTCGACCAACGATGTTGGCATACCCAAAACCGGTTCGGTTTCAACCATGAGATCGGAATTCTTCTCGAATTTGCCCCAAAAGATTCGATCTGTACTCGATCCCAACAGCCCTTTTCATCTCGACCTCTCCAAAGCCTCAGGGCTCAAAGGCGGTATGTATCTATATATACACGCACACACACACACATGTATATATTAACAATCTTTCTCGTTTTATGGATTGATAAGGTGAAAAGGAATATTACGAGAGACAGTTAGCAACACTGAAATCCTTCGAGGAAGTGGAGTATTCCGTGGCTCAGCCGCCACAATATGGCATGGACGACGATGACGGAGAACGAGGACGAGCTGAAGAAGCTGCACAGGAACGAGCCATGAAAGTCTCCAATTGGGCTAACATTCTATTACTTGCTCTCAAGGTTTCGATCCCTTTTGAAACATCTTTTTACCTTACTCTGTGTGTGTGTGTACGTATATATATATAGTGTATATATGTGTGTGTTTTATGGATTATGTATAGATATATGCGACGGTGAAGAGTGGGTCGATAGCGATAGCGGCGTCGACGCTGGACTCTTTGTTGGATCTCATGGCGGGAGGAATACTTTGGTTCACGCATTTGTCGATGATCAACGTTAATATCTACAAATACCCCATCGGGAAGCTTAGGGTTCAACCTGTCGGAATTGTTATCTTTGCTGCTGTTATGACCACTCTTGGTAATACAATAAAATAAAAAACCCATTTTGATATTTAATGCATAATAGGTTAACAAATTAACTAGTAAAATATGTTTTATAGCTATATATATACATATATTGAGCCAACTGTCATTTAGATTTATCTTTTTTTATAATTCATCAACCAGATGTATAATATATATATATATATATAACATATGTGTGTGTGTATACATACATACATACATACATACATACAGGATTCCAAGTGCTGATGCAGGCTACCTCCGAATTGGTTAAGAATGAGGCGTCGGAGAAGATGAGTAATGAGCAATTGGCTTGGTTGTACTCGATTATGTTAACCGCAACCGCATCGAAGCTCGCCTTATGGCTCTATTGCAGAACCTCTAAAAACAACATCGTCCGTGCCTACGCAAAGGTCTCTCTGTGTGTGTGTATATATATACCCGTAATTACGTACACACACACACACATATATATATAAAGGGTTGCTTTCTTTACGTGGTTTTGTTTACTCGGGGGTTGACATATATACATACATACATATATATATATATATGTGTATATGTAGGATCATTACTTTGATGTGGTGACGAATGTGCTTGGACTGATCTCCGCGGTTCTCGGAGACGAATTCTACTGGTGGATCGATCCCGCGGGCGCCGTACTTCTGGCCATCTACACAATCTCCACGTGGTCTAGAACTGTAATGGAGAATGCAGGTACGTCCTTTATCACATATACCATGAGTTCATCAAACTTCAATAATCATGAGACGCGTAACTCTGATTTTAATATAATAATCTTGCTTTTGCATGCATGCAGTGTCGTTGGTTGGACAATCAGCTCCTCCCGAGGTTCTACAGAAGCTGACGTATCTCGTGCTCTTCCACGGCTGCGACGGGATCAAGCGCATCGACACAGTTCGTGCCTACACTTTCGGCCTTCTTTATTTCGTCGAGGTGAAACCAATTAATCGTATATTCTTATTAAATCGATCTTGTAATAATATATATATGTAAATGTATACGTGCATATGTGTATAATGATAAAAGGGCGGTGCAGTGCAGGTGGATATCGAACTCCCCGAAGATATGCCGTTGAGAGAAGCTCATGCGATAGGGGAGATGCTGCAGACGAGAATGGAACAACTCCCGCAAGTGGAAAGGGCGTTTGTCCATCTCGACTATGAATGCCGACACAAACCCGAACACTCTGTTATTGTCAGAGTCCCCGATGATATCTGATTAAGATTTCGTATATTATTAAGATTTTGTATATATATATATATATATATATATATATATATATATACACAGTTTGATCTTTACTATCTCTTGGTATAGGCTAAGCTTTTGTTTATGTTCTTGGATAATATGGCGGGGGGGGCGGGGAGATTGAATTTTGTTGCATAATTGCAAATGTGATTCAGATAAAAGAGAGTGAAATGAAAAACGCTAAGCTCTTGCAAATCTTTACTCTGAAGCAAAACAGATACAAAAATCCAACAAGATGAAGAAAAAACACTGTGAACTAAAAAAAAAATGGCAGACAGATTATTGTGTTCCGGATTACAATGTAAAAAAAAAAAACTCACAATCCATATTGCCAAACAATCCAACCAAAGCCATTGCAAATGGAACTCAGAATAACGAAAACCTTATGCCGTTGGTGGCCGCAAACAAGTTGTACTCTTCCACCGTGCTCTCTTTCTCTTTCTCTGTCTTGTTGAAAGGGAGATCACCTGAGGAAACATCATCTGCTGAACTCTGCAAGGAAGAATCCACCAGATTCCCGGCTTTGGAGCGGACAGGATTCGTTTTACACCCTGCAGCAAGCGCTACCGGCCCACCGAAATGGAACAACGAGAAGCTGTCATCACCATTGCCACCAGCACAATCACCATTCTTTGAACCTCCATAGCTCGGAGACTCCATTGGAGGCGGCCTGCAACTTGATATCCCTTCATCTTCTTCTTCCTCCAGAGATCTTTTTCCTGATGGATCAACAGTTTGAGCTTGCTCCTCGGTATTCACACTGTTGGCTCTGGCAAATGGATGGAAAACTGGAACATGCCCAGAGTGGAAGAAGGGAGGAGAGGCTGAATGATTCAACGGGCCACCATACTGCATGCATAACTGGGAATCTCCTCCATTCAGACCATACCCGAGTGGGCCAGCATATAAATAGTGGGCAGGAGGCGGAAACGGCATTAATCCATTGGATGGAGCTGCGGGCCAAGAAACTGGAGCTTGATGGAAGTAACCCATTGTTGAAGGAGCCTGGAAAACTGGAAACTGTATATTGTGGTTAAGCATTTGTGGAAACATGCCCTGTGGTTGAGAACCTGTATTAATACCAGTTACCATATTGTCCATGCTGTGGCCAGGAATGGTGAAAAGAGTCCCAGTCCCAGAGGAATTACTTCCTCCACTGTCTGGTGGAAGGCTAGACAAATTCCTATATCCCACAACATCTTCCAAATTACTATTCTTCCTTGTATCTGCCGTCTTTTCGTGACAGTTCAAGATATCATTCTGTGTACCCAATGAATTTTCTCTTCCTTCAAAATGCTGACTGGCATCTTCAGAATCAGATGTCAAGGAGGATTCGGTGTTTCCACTCTTCAAAGAACCAGTATTGCTGTCTCCCTCGCTAAGGCAAGAGGAGCAGTTATCTGAATTGGATATACTGCTCGACATAGTGTCTTTCAAGTGCCAGTCATTATTCTTTGCTTGCACATCAACTCCAATCTCCCCGTCTTCATCTATTGAATTGATACAATCCCTAGACTCCCTGCTATCTTTATGATTGCTATTATCCAACTTTTCTGTAGCCTTACCCGGAGATGACTTTACTGCAGTACTATCATGTTCGATATCTTCTGCCTTGACCATCGAAGGACTTAATGTTATATCCGAGTCTGTGTTGTTCCGCGGATACTTCTTCGGCTCAAGGGGCTCCCAAACCTTTTTAGTATTTAATGAATCCCTTGTAGAAGGATTCTGACTGAGGGTTGCTCTGCTTTTGGGTCTTCCATCACGTACATATTCTGTTTGTGTATACCTATTGCTTCGGTGTACTGGGTGGGAGGCATCTGGAACAGAATCTGATTTGAATACGGGTTTAGATTCTCTCATGCCTCTGGTTGCAGAGAGATTAGGTTCTGCCTTTGCCCGGAATTCATTACTCTGTTTGCAACTGCAAGAATGAGAATCGTACCTCTCACTCATCCTGTTGTTCGTACATTGGAACTTCTCATTGCACTTGATGCCATTTCGACTGCTGCCTTTTGTAGATTTCACTCTCAATTGTCTGTTTGTCCCATTGAAGCACCTTGAAAGCACCTCTAGTCTGTCATTTCGATGTCGAGCATCAGATCTACCAACAAAAGAAGCATTTTCGGAACATCTGTGCCTATCTGGCCACCTCATGGCATGATCAGGGTGAAGTTCATTCCAAAACTTCGCTTTCGGATGAGCTGGTTTCGGCTGATCATTTGTAAAGTATCCATTCTCATCTTCAAGATCTATAAGTTCTCCATCAGGGGTGGTGTCAGAACACTGGTTTTCCGCACTTGGTGAAGGGGGGCTGTCAAAGCATTGTCCATCTTGATCATCAGAAGAACCAGGTGGAGACAAATCTACATCGCCGGTTTCATTTACTGATTCCTTGCAGCTTATGCTATTGTTCATCTCATCATCGAGGTATGGTAAACCTTCTTCCCTTGACGTCTCTGGCAATGTTGCTTTATCACTAGATTCATAATTCTTCTTCTCTTTACCTCTCTCCTTTTCCTTCAACCTTTCTTTTCTTCGAAGTTTTTTCTCCCTTTCTTTTGTTCTTTTTCTCTCCTTCCGCTCCTCTTCTTCACGCTTTTCCTTCTCTTCTTCTTCGAGAAGTTTCACCTGCAGGAGTAAATACAAAGCAGTTGTTTGAAATTTATCAAAATGGAACATGTCTCCCATTATTTTGCATAGCATATATGTACAAACCTGCTTCTCCAAGGTAATAATTTCCTTACAGGCAACATGAACACGTTGCTCTAATAGTTTCAATGCAAGACAAACAAAGATGCTGTGTGCATTTTGACGGGCTGTTCCTTCCCTGAATGCCTTTTCCACCTAATATATAACAAAGAACAGATAAAAACATAAGTATCAATGCAGAACCCAAAGTCAGTACCGATCAATAAATTATGATCTCAAGGCACCCCAATTATTAGTGAAGATATCTTCAACAAACCTGTTCTTTGAAGATAACTGTAGCAGCATCTAGAAGAAACTCCCGAGCAAGTTCAGGACTCTTTGCATGCTTCTGTGGGCGAGAGCATTCCCCATCAAGCTCATTCCCATCCTTGTCCATCAAATCTTCATCCTTAAATTGCGTAAGAAGCACAATGATAATCTCTTAACAAGGAGAAAGCAAATTTGCAAAAGTTCGAACATTTGAGAGAGTTCAGTTGAAAAATTACAAATCTTGATCTACCTCTTCTTCCTCAGCCTCTTCAGCATGTTCAAAAAACCTACGGATGCTTTCCCCTCTCCTTATTGAAACAAACCCATCTCCAACCACAAGCCTGCAGTGCACGCATTGTTGGCCTTTCAATGCATGGGCTTTTACGGATATCTCGGAGCAGCGGCCATCTAATTTGATAGCCCTAAGGGTAATGTAGCATGTGTTTAAACCACGAAGGTCCAGGCCATTGACTTGTACACTTCCACTCATGCCAACATTTTCAAATTCGAGGATGTCAGATTTTCCTTCACCAGTTCCAATTGCCCACTCGAAGTGATGGTATATTCCAGCAGTCTCAGTGAAAGTTTGGCGCCAATCTGCTTGGACGGAATCAATGGATACCTGAGAAATTGTAAATGAATTCGTGATGATATCTTGTGATATCAGCCTCTCAAGAGATATTGGTAAATAATTCTTAAAAAACTCAGCTCTAGCACAATGGAACCAGTTATTGGAATTCATAACATCAAAGGAAAAGATAACAGACCTCGTATTGGAAGTCTGTATCTGCAACACAAAACCAGGTGGTACATTGAGGTTCTCTTCGCATTCGTTTCAGTTCCTTGAGCTCTTTAAACTCACGGATAACATTTCTTCTGCAGTCTCTACAAAACCTCTTGCTATCGAATCTGTCACGAAAGGTCAGTTTATTATGGAAATGAAAAAGGAACAAAAAGTCTACATAAGTCTCAGAAAAAGAAGAAAAAAAAATCACACATGACAGCAACTGGAGTAACTCAAAGCATGATAAATCAAAACTTCAGATCAAGCTGTAGATGGAACAAGAGATAGTATCCAGAATTTTTCTTCATATCAACTCGTGGTAGAGCATTTAAGAATACCAGGGTCAACTAATAATATACCTGTACATTAGCCTCTCAATGAAATCCTCTTCTTTCATCCGCAAAAGAGATTGTCGAGTTTCATCACCAAGTGCAGACCAAAAATCCACCAATGTATCACACGAGAGTCTGGCAGTATGTAGAGCACATGTTTCTCTTGTCCCATGCCCCCTCCCGTAGCTAGCCATTCCTTGGCTTATCCATCCCCGACCTCCACCACCACAAGCATCAGGGTAGAGCAGTTCACGTTCTCTCTCTCGTGCACGTGCACTGTCAAACACCTGCCAGGACTAGAAGGTCAACTACTCTAACCAATGGGACAACGGGAGTGAAACCTTAAATGAACTTACATTTTGGAGTCCTTTGAGGGACTTTGCGTACAAGTAACAGTCAAGAAGTGTGAGAGACCCATCACGGGTTGTGGTGAGACCTCCCCAAGGATGAACAGAAGGATCTTGCATCTCATCGGCACATCCATTCCTAACCACTGGGTTACAGTCATCCTGATCTTTTGAGGCTCCTGATCTGTTGCAGGAAGGATTTCCTATTGATCCATCTTGTTGCAAGGACTTACCATACATAACAATTTGCAGGAATCCTTCGAGCAGAAGGCCATTGCATCTGGAACAGTACATGTTCTTGCGAGCTTGTTCGAACAGCATCTGCTTGTCGATCCTGAGAAGCTCCTGCCTAGCTTTCGATGGAAGTTCACTCCAAAACTGTACACAAGATTGCAGAAATTAATTACGAATCTAGTGTTTTAACATCGTGAAGGTTAATTAGTCCAACATATATCCAGAAAAATAAAGTAAGTGTACCGATAAACAAGTCTTACTGTTTTCACAGTTTAGATTAAAACAGAGAATAACAGGAGGAGGTACTGGAAATCGGAACAAACATGTGTTCATCTACTCAGTTCCAGCTGCAGTGTTATTAAGATGCATGTGTCTTCAAGGCCACAACTTCTTACCTACAGCCCTCTAATTACCACAATTTACTGCCATCTCCCTTTTGAAACCTTAATTGGCTTCTTCATGGTCATGGCTAAGATTCTTCACATGAATTTACAAGGGCATCAGCATTCTTTACTCTCTAACGAGTTATTAAAATTAAAGTTTTAAAGAGGGCAAGGATCTTCTCCAGTATTCCTCGGGACCAAGTCACTTCTATATGAGGTGCATTGATCCCATCTCTACTGGCGAGGCAACAGAGAAATACCCTCATTCCCTTATGCCAAAAACTATTCACAAAATGGAAAAGATTAGAGGATTAATGCAACAAGAGTGGGGTTTATCCCGTTTTCATAAACTATTCACAAAATGGGATAGATTTTGAAATAATATTTGCCCACAATATCAGGTAGAAACATCACTACAAAGAGTCAAAATGATGAGTTTGTCATGCAACCATAGCAAATGAATAAGAGTCTGCATTGAAACAATCAAAGCAAACACCTCTAGCGACCAAACACTCATCGGAAACACATACACACATGTTAATGAATAATTCATAGCCCAAGATCCAATCTAAGCTTAATTCCGCGTCGAAATTCCGAGAGAAACAATCCATCAACATCGCAATCTCCAAAGCACTCGAAAGAAAACGGGCAAGTACCTTCTGCAGCTGATTGTAGCTGATGCCATCGCCGTCCTTGGACCAGAAACCAAAAGAGTAATGCTCATTCCTCTGCGCTAAACTCGGCATCTTCTACACTCTTCTATGTTTCATCAACGAACGTTACCATTATCACCAACACGGCCCCAGACTCAAAGCCCAATCGAGAACCGATCAGGGGCGATTCAATTCCGCCGAATCGGATTGAGGGAACACCGAATCCAATCAGAAAAGGGGAGAAAACAATCGATTTCGATCGAGATGAATCGGATTGACGAACAGGGGCGATTCCAAAAAGTCCGATTACGATATTAGCCAGGAGACTTAACCTTTTCGGATACTTGAAGGAAGGAATCGAATTGGATTGAGATTGGATTAGGGAGAGACGCAAATCAGGGTTCCTATAGAATTATATTCTTAATAGAATTAATGTTAATGTCCTAATAAGATTAGCTTCTAATTAGATAATTCTAACTCACTATACAAATACTAATCTAGTTTAACTCGATCCAATAAAAAACATACACAGGGGGGGATACGAGGCTTGCTTGGTAGAAATGATGGTGCGGTTAAAATGGACATTTAGAGGGAAATTATATTTTGTTACGTAGCTTCCGATACGATTTTTTACCTGTTCTTTATTTTACATTACATTCGAATTCGGGTAAATTTTGCTTTTGCATCACACATATAAGCCTTTATATATACATATATATATATATATTGCTGATTAAAAAATATTCAAAATTTATTTTAAATCTTCTGGTAAAGGTTTTTTACGGTGATGGTGTGAGTGAAGGGATGGTGTTGTCATCGTGGTGTAATCCACGCTTGGTTAAAACCCTGCCATCTGGTGGTACAAATTTGATGAGCGAGAAAGTTTTAATTCGATTTCACTCGAAACGTTAATTAATTATATGATTAAAGGTCGATTCCGAATCTAAAAGATTAAATAGTTCCAAGTCTTAGTGAATCTTTTGTTATAAAAAAAATATATATATCCAATAAATTAAGGGTGTTAAATGGATTGGACGGTTTGAACTATTCCAAATCTGGTGTTCGGTCCAAAAATTTTAGATTCGGATCAACCCGAATTTTTTTAGATCTATACAATCAAGCTCAAAACTTAATTTTATAGGGTTCGGATTGGACCGCTCCAAAATTCGATTTAAATACGATCCGAAAGTTTGGATTAAATCCGATATTTTTCGGGTGGATTTTGATCGGACTTTAGGTTTTGGACCAAAATTGACACCCCAAATTAAAATTTGTATTGTGTCTTATGATTATCTCTTTAGATAATTAGGATTTGTACTGTGTCTTATGGTTATCTCTTTAGATATGAGACCATGTTCATTCCGAGTACTCTGCTACATTCATATTTGATCATTTTATGGGTTATTACATAACACAATAGATATTTCATACACTAAAGTTTAATAAACATCGTGAAAATAAAATTCAGAATATATATATATATATATATATATATATGTAATATGCAAATGGGGATATAACAAGTTAACAACGGCACACCACAGAAGTCAAAATCTTCCTATAAGCGTGACATTGTCGTATAACAACAGCATCAATGGACCATATAAGTAATTAGATACATTCGTTAAAATGACAAACATATATATATACACCTACCAAAGTGCCAAGACTTTATTGCCCTTTGGTTAGGGATGTAAAATGAGTCGCGCCTCGCGGGTTAGCTTACGAGCCATCCCATATTTTTTCGCATCGGATTCAAAATATTTGAACCCAGAAAAAATCGAGCCAAACGAGCCAGCCCATCAAGAGTTGGACTCGCGGCGAACCAGTCCGTTACGAGCCGGACTGGCTCGCGGGGTAGAAATTCTTTTTTTTTTTTTAATTTTAATGTTTTTTTAAATTTTAAAATATTTTTATATACAATTATATTTTTATTACATATTTAATTTGTTTTGTTTAAAATTTAATTTTTTATTATATTTTAAATATTTTTATTATTTTTAAAATATTAAAATTATTTTTAAATACTTTTAATCTTAAAATTTTATTTTTAAAATTTATATATTTGGTTCGCGGGTTGGTTCGTTTGGCTCACGTACGAGTTAAGACGATATGGATTGAGCTGATATATTTTTGGTTCGCTAAAAAATGGATCAGATTGGGTTGGACTAAAACTTTTCTAGATCGGAACGAGTCGGGTTGGGTTGGGCCGAGCCGACTCGTTTTACACCACCACCTTTAGACATGGTGTGACCCTTCGGCTCTCGACCCGTCAAGACCTCCAAAAGCACGAACCAGAAACTGTTCCGTTATTGCATATCTACGTAACAACATCCATCACCTGAATTAGGGGTATCAATCGGGTCGTTCCGACCAGATCTGATCCGAGTTCGTATTTGATTTGAGGGTTTTCGGGTTCGGATCGGCCCGATTTTTTTTCGGACCTATATAATCAAATCTTAAGGTTGATCCTATAAATTTTGGGTTCACATCGAGTCGGACCGGACTAGTCCACTAAATTCTTTTGTAATTTTATTTTTTCCTTTTTTAAATTACTTTTTTTGAAAAAAATATCCCGACATTGTTTTTGGGTGGACTCGGATCGGACTTCGATGCATGCAAGTATACGTATATTATTTTCACATAACACCGTGAGATTAACGTAGAAAATCATATGATCTGATTTTGGTCCAAGGATCATTGTTACGCAAAAAAAAAAAAGGCAAATAGAAGCTTAGAATTTTGATTCAATCATCACCAAACTTGATTCGACATTGTTGTGCATCGAGAACATAACCAAACACTCGTGTCTTTTCTCTCTGTCGTGTTTCTTTCTCTTCAAGCTTCATGTCTGGTCCTGTCTCTTTCTCCACAGAACCCAAACCATGGCGGATTTCTTCTTGTCTCTTTTCACTTTCTCTCATCCAATGTTATGTACAATATCGGGGTTTTGATCAAAATCATTCAAGAGACCGCTTGTTTGGCATTTCGGATAAGCTATTCTTCCTTCCATATCCGACCAGTGACTCTCAGCTTGAGCTCTTGCCTGTCCCCACCGCCGGAGAAATACAATGCCAGGTTCCTCGGTACGATAAGGCCGTCCTGGCTGTCTCGGACTTTCCTGTGACTGTCTCGAATGCTTCTCGGAATCCCTTGCCACGTCAGCTTCCGCCCGTTCCCCCCTACTTCCAAGCTGTAGCTGAATCTCTTCGCTTCCTTCTCGTCTCCCATAAACCGTAGAAACGCCATGTAAACTGGCGCCATCCCGAGCTGGAACGCCTCAAAGTGCAAGCAGAACTGCCTCCCGAAGCAGTTGAATACCTGAACCCAGTTTTGAAAATGATACCGGGATCCTACCCATCAAAACCAGATTGAAAAACGAAGAACGAAAAACGTGAAACTTTCTAGAGTTTTTACCGTAAGCATCCAGGTAGCATTCTCGACCTCATGTGGATTTGCCTTCACATACCGGTGGTTGAAGGTGCACCCATCATGCATATCGACCTTATGATCGTCCTTGAGATGAGAAACGAGTGTCGGGATATCTCCAGTGACCGAACACTCGGATCCAGCGTAAGGGCAGGTGTAAGGACGAAACCCGCAATGCTGCTCGTGCTTGAGCTTGCTGTAGTAAGGGAAAATGTCATGGCATCCGAGGCTTTGGTACCGGCATGAAACTTCCAAAGATTCCGCAACTTTCTCGAGGGCCAAACACCTTATGTTTCCCAGCTCGTAGCGGCATGTCGGGCACAGGTTCTGCACTCTGATCTTGCAGTTTGAACAAAGTGTGTGGCCATTCGGACACTTGAGAAAAGGAAAATGATAACATTAGATCGCTCGAGGAGGGAACACACTACACCTAGCAATCGAAGAAAAACCAGACATACCTGATGAATTGGAGGGTACATCAGATTCGTACAAACAGGACATTCGAGGAGCTCATAAACGCAATGGTTGGAATGAATCCCGTATTTACTGACACCGCCAGCACTACCCGACCTTGTCGGTTTACTGTTAGTCTCTGCTTTTGCCGTTTTAACATCGTAATCCATGGCGGTTGAGTTAGATTCTTGGACTTCTTTCAAAGCACTGCCTCCAGGAGCCATAAGCGGGTCAGATGATGCCATGCTTTAGATCCTCATTCTTCTGCGGGAGAAAGGATATATGATCCCACAAGATTGAGCTTAAAGAATTCACAAAGCAAACCCAAAAACATCAAAATGAATTGAAAGCAGGTGATAGCTAAATCTGGGTACGCATCAAAGATAGGCAAAGTAGGCAATGCAGCAGATCTAATGGCCAAAATTCTTGGTCAGATTTCATCAGATTCTTTCCTTATGATGATGATTTCGTGGAAAAGGGCCAAATGATAGATAACTTCGATTTGCTTTAAAGATCATCTACTACCTTCCCAAGCACCAACAAAACCAAACATGGGTTCCTATCTGAAACCAAAGAACATATCCATGGCAGATTTCTAAGGGGTTAGTTTCAGCACTTGAAACTTTACAACCTCAAACCATCATGAACCAAAAAAAGTCAGAAAATTTTTAAATTTTGCAATGGAACGAGCTGATTAAAACCTAAGTTCAAGCTGAAATCTAAAGAAACCATCTTAAATATGCATACCCACAGTCAGGATTACAGAGGATTTCAGAATCTGGCCTATAAAATCAGGGACAGCCTCCCTACAAGGCACAAAAAGGGAAAGATTCATCGATGGGAAATACAAAAAGTCAAAATCTTTTCCAAAAACAAGGAATTTTAAGATTCGCAGTACGCATCTGAGAGGAAACAAAAGCCAAGAGAAAATAGAGAAAGAGAACAAAACCCATTTCCCCAAATCCCTAAAAGATGTCGTCCCACGAAATATATTTCCCAAAATGCAAGCTTAGATTGAGCATCAGACGAGTAAATCCATCGCAGAAAACGAAAACCCATTTCATCATTTCCTCGGCTCGTGACCTTTCCTCGATCTACAGAACCCGATTTCGTACCCAGATCACAAAACAAACAAAAAAAATCAAACCCAGTAGAAAAGATTATGGATTTACCCGGAAGAAATTACCAGGTTGTGGGGTTGGTGTTTCCCAGATTTTGCTTGAGATTTCCACGAAAAAAAACACAGCAGATTAAAAGAAAGAGAGAAGGAGAATAGCGGCGACGGGGGGGGGGGGAATTTTGATT